AAAAGGGTCCAAAATTAAACTTTGTTTGATTTCATCAAAAATTGAATTCTTGGGGTTCTTTGATATGCTGAATCTAACCATGTATTTAGATTTTGGATATTGGACCATAATAGGTGAATGTCCAATTTAAAATTTTTAAGTTCTTAGACCACATTCATTCTGTGTCAGAAACCTATGCTGTGTCAAATATTTAATCACAATCCAAATGCAAATCTGTATCAAGCTTGAATGTTGTGTCCATACTTGCCCCAACTGTTCAGGGTTCGACCTCTGCGGTCATATCAAGCTGCGCCCTGCGGAGCATTTTATTGTAATCTTTTACAAAAATCTTTTCCTCTGAAACTACTGAGACAAATTAAACCAAACTTGGCCACAATCATCATTGGGGTATCTAGTTTAAAAAATGTGTCCAATGACCCTGCCTACCAACCAACATGGCCGCCATGGCTAAAAATAGAACATAGAGGTAAAATGCAAGTTTTGTTTATTATTTTTTGAACCGTTATAAATAGAGAAAATCTGAAAGGAGCAAAAATGTTCAGAATAATGAGCTCTACCAATTGTCCATATATGCAAAACTGTTAGACAAATTCTTTTGGGAGTTATTGCCCATAAATGACAAATTTTACCATTTTTTTCAATTTTGCCTATTATCATGAAAACTATAATATTTAGAGAGAAACATTTTTTTTTCCGTTATGCCTTATATGATTTAAATTGTAATAGATAAATAAACACTTGAAATCACAAAAATATGATCAGCAAGGCAAGATCTATTAAAAAGTAAAATTTTGCCGATATAGTTACATACATGTGAATCTCCCGACGGGAGTACAATAATCCCGTTTTCAGGGGTCTCCTCCCGACCTGCGGTTGAAGAGAAAAAAATCCTGTGTATGAAATATTTCAGCCCAACAACTGCCTAATCTGGTGTAACTGACATTACCTGAAGTTATATTTTACCTGTAAATCAATTAACATGCATAATCATATGGCTTCACTTGTCAGCTTGGGTGTCAAACATACTGGTAATCAACGATTATTACCTCAGGCTAACTGCCGTTGTGTATTAAAAACTTTGTGTATTTAAAAATGAATTTTAGGTTACATCCCTTGATTTATCCTGTTTAAAGCTACTTTCCTTTAGATAATGTAAATTTTTAAAAGAATATAAATAAAATATAAATTGAACAAATAATCATAAAAGGATGGTAATTAAATGATTTAAAGTGTCTTAGGAAAAACAAAAAAATAATAATATGAAAATTATTTGAGGGTTCTATACTTTCTTTCAAGGCTTAAATTTAAATTTATATAATAACTATGTCCACTGTTTGCAGTTTGAATGTGCAAAAAAGATCTATTTGCAGATAATTAATCAAATGATCTGATTGCAGTGATTGTTCTGTAGAATAATGATACAAAAGATATAAAATAAAGATTTTAAAGAACATACCTAAAGAAAGAATGTTGGATGGAACATGTTGAATAAAGATAGAAAAAAATTACAAGGGTACTATAAACATAATACATTGGGATGGAAAGTTGAAGAAAAAAAATAATTAAAAAACAATTTCTTTAGCACAGGGTTACAATTACGACAAAATTTATGTCGATTAAAAACCTCCTGATCTGAGTCCTAATCTCCTGACCAAAATTTCCCAATCTCCTGATCTGAGTTTCACAGTCCATCACATGTATGTAGTTAGTAGACTGTCACTCTTCATAGGAGTGATTGACCTTAAATGAGGATTTTTTTTTACCCTCTTTTGTGCTTTGAGCAAAAACTAAAGAAGATAGAGAGAAAGTAAACAGACTAAAAGATCAGTAATACAAGATCAACAAAATAGAGATTTTTGTCATGAAGTCTATTCTCGTCTACAATGTTGGAGAGTGTCCTTTGTTTGATATGCACATAGACCAAGGTGAGCGACACAGGCTCTTTAGAGCCTCTAGTTAAGTTTTATGACTATCCTAGTTCCAATTGCTTTTTTATTGGTACACCAATCATTATTAATTCAAGCAATAAAAGTTTGACAGCATTAAACAACTTAGGCACTGAGGGTCCAAGGAAATGGTAAATGTGTGATTGTCTATTTGCCAGGTATATTGGTTGATGTCACAATTAATTATTTAAAAAACAATTGTCATTAATAACCAGAAACAAATGATTGATAAGCTAATTTACCCTTTACCTTTGAAATGGTCAAATTAGGTCTGTTAAACTAAAATTAAAAGTGTTTTGTTTTATTTTTTTTAACACTTCCAATAAACTACTTGATAATGAAAATATCATCTTTCTCACATATTATTTATCCCACTTTTCACAGGTAAATTAAAAATTGTTAAAACTGAAGATAATTTGTGGCCATATCATTGAAAAGTATCCCCTGCAATGTAATATTAAGAACTACACATGATATTTGATCGCGTAACAACTACCTTATAACTAAACCAATTCAATATCTTAGAATGGTCTCTCAGCAACATTTTCTACATGGTATACTGACCTGCCAAACAGCTACCTGAATATCTAGTGTTTACGGCATTTCAACTATTCATCTAGTTATAATGCTCAAATAAGCATTCAGACTGAATAAACTTAGTAACAACACATTTTCTGAAAATGAATGTTGACCTCCTTCCAACTTTGCCGCTTGATGTCATAATTTCAGATTATGAAAGTTTTTCAAATACTTAACCTACATGTAGCTAAAATGCACCAATAAATTTAAAGCCGTTGTTATGGAAATATGACCATGAATCGATAGAAAATATCAAAATTACACTAAGTGATGTTTAAACAGGAGGGTAATTTTGCATGGGGTTCAGTTTTTCATACAGGTCTCGAGGGGGGTTCAATTTCCTGCTATGGATTATGACCCGGGGTTGAATGTTCCATATGCACCGGGCATCACAATAGCAAAAAGTTAATGTTCGGTAACTTCAAATAACGATATGTAATACTGAAGAATGAAAAACGTTTAAAATTGTGAATTGACTTTTAATTTTCACACCTGCACATCAAAGGAACGGAAATAGTAATTAACAATCGGTGATTTATTGTGTAATAATATATGTCAAGGTACATGCTTTTTGCCTCAAGGTAATTATAGACTATAATATGCCCTTTTCCATATTGGCCCCGGTATCATCCCAAGACGCCCATATCATTTAGCCGAGGGCTGATATGGATCGAGGGATGATACCAGGGCCAATATGGAAAAGACATGTTATAATCTATTTATCACATATTTAAGTTCAACAGAAAAGAGAAAAACGTTCAATTATAACTATTTAATCAATCACAACAGGTAAATTTAAAAAGATTTATCACATTTTCCATTAATTTTTTATATTTACTGAATACAAATTTATTGTAACATTCCCCTTATTTTTAAATATGGTAATACACAAAAGCGAGAATTTGGCATAACTTGGCCTAAATCGATAATAGTTGGTTGGACATGGACATGGTTACTAGTGGCCATTGTAGCATAATTCTCATAATTTTCAATACAAACACCGTCATTGTTCGCCATTGTCATTAAGGATGCAATGACGTCACGTCATTTGGAACCGGGGCCCAATAACCAATAACCACTTTTTTGCCCCGGGCAGCAATATGAGTAGGACAATTGTGCGGTTATTACATATGCAAAACCCAATGTTTTCGTAACAAATATGTGATAATCAAATTATATTCGAAATAGAATGTCAATATTATTAGTGATAGACTAATTGGTAAATAAATCCAAATCTGAATTAAACTCTATGGTGCAACATTTTTGCTCACCTTTGGGGTGTCACGTGCACCCGGTGACAACCCCCTCGATCCACCTCTGCTGTAAAATTATAAATAATAAAAGGTCCCTGAAGGTTTACTTAAACGTAAAATTTACATAACCTGGGATGTAAGTGTAAATAAAAAACAATTTTAGGAATAAGTAAAACTGCAATTATATTAGAATACATATTTCAATGTTATAAAACTTTAAAAATCATAACAATACCTAGTGATTATTCTAAAACTACTAAAAAAGTATAACATAATACTGAACTTCAAGGCAAATTCAAAAAGAGGAAGTCCTTTAAAACTGACAAAATCAAACGCTACCAATCAACAGAACAAGTGAAAAACAACTGCCATATTCCTGACTTGGTAAAGGCATTTTCCGAAGAAAATGGTGGGTTAAACCTGGTTTTATAGCTAGTTAAACCCCAAACTTGTATGACAGTTGTTTATAGTTCCATGGCCATAAAATTCAGTGCTGCTATAATTGATATGTCTAAAATAGAAACATTGTTAAGAATTCAGGCAATCTTTTATTATAGAGACCCCAAGTGGTATAACATCCTATGACTTCTATTTGTCAGTAAAAAACCAAGATAAAGATGAGCTTCTTTTTGTAGACGAAACGCGCGTCTGGCGTAAATACAAAATTAATCCTGGTATCTATGATGAGTTTATTTACAACCACTGGGTCGATGCCACTGCTGGTGGAGTTTTAATTCCCCGAGGGTATCACCAGCCCAGTAGTCAGCACTTCTGTGCTGACATGAATTATCATTGATATGGTCATATTGATAAATTAACTGTTTACAAAACTTTTGAATTTTTGAAATACTAAGGCTTTTCTACCTCAGGAATAGATTACCTTAGCTGTATTTGGCAAAACTTTTAGAAATTTTGGTCCTCTATGCTTTTCAACTTCGTACTTTATTTGGCCTTTTTAACTTTTTTGCATTCGAGTGTCACTGATGAGTCTTTTGTAGACGAAACGCGCATCTGGCGTAAATACAAAATTAATCCTGGTATCTATGATGAGTTTATTTTCTGTTTGGCTGTGCAGGATGTATAAATGTCCAGTCACAACCGAATGGTAACGATAACATCTGATGCCTCATGTAGGGAAAGTGATCTCTGCATTGTTAAAATGTTTTCTTGTCTTAATATATATCAAATAACAACAACAATCAATCAATTAACTATATTATAGATATCTGTAGAAAGTTTTGGTGAAGTCAAAAATATAGAATTATGTAAAGGTGGATCTAAAAAACCAGTTACCAAAAGTAATAGGTAAGTCTACTCTATTTAAATTTTGTTTGAAGTTGACAGCTATTTCAGGGATAAATGTATGTAGAAAAAAGAATATATTTTTCCCTTTTCCCATCCAGTATGCATGAATTTACTACATATTTTGATCATTGCATTCTGCAAACAACACACATCTAAGCATAATAAGAATTTTTTAATGAATGAATAAAAAATTCTTTTAAAAGTTGATATGATTTCCTCTCGTCTAATATCTAAAAAAATAAACAAATTAAAGTTGGTAGTCAAAAATTCAGTTAACTGGAAAGAATTCAAGTCAATTACACATAATATTGATATCAATTTTCTGATGTACAGGGCTTAATTTTAGCAGTTTAAAAGTCTCAATTGAAAAGTCTTAACATAAAAAGTAATCAGGTTTATAAATTTTTTGGTCTGATTATGCCAATAACTATTTAAGTGTTTTGAAATCCACCAAATAATCTAAACCCATGTTCAATATTCTTAAGGGAGTCAATGCAGTTTCAGGGGAATAAACTATTTCCGTGATAAAGCAAGTTCAACGTCCCTTTTTTACTAGTTTTGTTTTTGAGGACGTCGTAATATGGAATCTTTATCACAGGATTTGAAATCTAAAAAATGAAAAACTGTGCAAATCTGCCAATTAAAATAGGATACAAAAGAATTTTTTTGTCGTTTTAAGCTCACCTGGCCTAAGAGGCCATGTGAGTTTTGGCATCACTTGGCATCCATCGTCATTTTTGTCGAGCCTGCGACTTCTGTCGCAGAAAGCTTGACATAGGGATAGTGATCCGGCGGCGGCGTTAGCTAACTTCTTTAAAGCTTTATATTTTAGAAGGTAGAAGACCTGGATGCTTCATACTTTGTATATAGATGTCTTATGTTATGAAGTTTCGGTCTGTTTTTCTTAAACTATAAGCAATAGGTCAGTTATATTATTTGTTGTATGGAATGATTGTAAAGTGTATATGTTTGTCTGGCAGGTATCATCTGACCTTGACCTCATTTTCATGGTTCATTGGTCAATGTTAAGTTTTCATGGTTAGGTTCATCTGACATTGACCTCGTTTTCATGGTTCATTGGTGAATGTTTAGTTTTCCTGGTTAAGTCTGTTTCTTAGAAACTATAAGAAATAGGTCAACTATTTTTGGTGTATTGAATGATTGTAAGGTTTACATGTATTGTTTGTTTTATCTGACCTTGACATCATATTCTTGGATCATGTTAAGTTTATGTGATACTTATAGTAAAGCTTTATATTTAGGACTCTCAACATAAAATCAATGGTCAGTAAAGAAGGCGAGACATTTCAGCGTGTGCACTCTTGTTAATTAATTCATATATTTAGAGCCTAGAGCATCTGAAAATTGTGGAAAAACACAAAAAAAATCACTGTGTTTCACCTGCTATTTGCACGTGCAATAAATGTGTATTTTAAAGTTACAACCATAAAACCTTAGTATAATACTTCAATCGACCCATTTTTTTAAGAAAATTAGTAATAAGCAATATAATTGGTTAAACATCTGCAATTTATCAGAATTTTTATTCCGGATATTTGTCACACATGAACCGACACTGTTCTGGTTTCTAGTTATAAGACAACATTAGGCAATTTTGAGATGGTCATTTGTAGTTATTATTTTGTTAACTTTAGAATTTCTGAAGCTTTGCGATTTATATATGTTGTTATGAATTGTTGTTTAGTCGAGTTTGTTGAATTTAACCGTGAATGTGGCAATCATTGTAGGGTGCGTTTTGTTTTCAGGTGTGTTCGATCTGTTGGATATTCAGGTAAAAGGACAATTATTAATTTTAGTTCGTTAAAACTGGCTCCGTTCAATGCCAAGTGCTCTGAAGTTGGAGACAAATGTATTACCTGCAATATTGTATTTGCTGAAATTTTAAGTATAGCAACAAAATCTATAAAAAAAAAAGTCTTCTAAATGCCGCAGCAGTGAGACGTGATGATTAGTTTATGTATTTCAATGAATTCTGTACTGATACAGTAACTGATTCCATCATATTTAGGTATCACAGATCTTGGTGTAAAAGCTACACAAGTAAACAAAATTTGAAATCAGTAGCACAGCTGAAAAGGAAGCACCTGATATGAGGCCAGATTTATCCAATTCTTTGTTGATTGAAAGTAATGTTGACCCTCTCGATTCTTCAAAGTGTATACTTTGGAAGAAAATCTCTCATAGAAAGTTATTACATACCATGCATGCTGGAAGATTAGCAAATCTAAATGATGGTGCAGTTAGAGCAGGCGACGCTGATATTATATACCGAAAAAGGCATGAGAATTTGCTCAATAATGCAGTTTATCATGCTTCATGTTTTACCACATGCTTGGCATCAAGACACTGATAAATATACCTAGGAGTTTGAAAGGGTTGTTGAAACTATAGACAAAGTCCTTATTCGGGAATGTTGATAATGTACAAGCCTGTCTTACCAAATAACATTAGTAAGACCTACTGCAATAACTCTAAACTCGAGGCTAAACTTAAGAAGCATACATGGATGCCTTAGTGCTCTTTTCTCAACAAGGACAAGGTAAATCGAGCATTTTATTTGCAACAACATAAGCAAAATCGGAAATTGCTCAAAAGTTGATAGACGGTGGTGTTTTCAGCTGTCCGACTTTACGTTGTAGCCATGCAGAGGCAGATACCACATTGATTTTCCATGTCTTTACGCTGATGCCATGTTTGGCGGAAAAGACGGTAAGGTTAGAATTGTATCAAATCAGATGATACTGATGTTCTTGTTCTGGCTGTCCATTTTTAGCTGATGCTTAAAGATACAAAAGACTAGAAGATGCCCGCGAAATCGCGGTACAATTGGGCAAGTGTTGAAACAAATAGGGTGGACACATTATGATTTGGACACGGTTGATGCATTTAATTCTATTTCTTAAAAAGAGATAAAAATGAGGAACATAATGCAAAAGATACCCAAAAGACCCCATTCATCTCGGTTGGAAAATAAAAATATTAAATACCCTAAGAAAAGTGTGGCAAAGTATGATTTTCAGTAGTTTTTTACCCTTTTAACTCAATAACCGTATGAGCTACGTAAAATCCGTTGACATTTCCGGACGTCGGGTGCCTATGTATACACATAAAAGGGAGGAGGATCACTTCGACACGTTCAACGCTTATTTCATTTTTGAACAGTTCTGCACCTGAGTTAAAAGGGTGGATGTCGTTTAATTTAGCAAAATGATGCACTTACAATACAATACAGGATCCTTATAGGCCTAACTGTCCTATTTTCTATCCTTTTTTCTAATTTCACTTGGATTTCGCGGGCAGTACGTCGACTGAGCATGCGCGAAAGCGTATAAGACGCGGATCGACAACGGTGTCCGAATTTGGATATTTTCTCAAAAATTGGCGTTTTCTGTGGAAAAAAAATTGTTTGAAAGACAAATTTAGGAAGTACAAAACACTACAATTATACGTCATATCACAAATATTTCCGACTTTGTATGGTTTCAGAGGAGTTGCGGCTCAATGAAATCGGTCTCTTCCTTTAGTAGTATAGAAGTATTGGTTCAGCCTGGTTCAATTGACAGCTTGAAGGATAACAGACGATTTATCCCAGTTCACGCCTCTGTTCCGTCTTTTGACCAAATTAACTTAACCCCCCCCCCCCCGATATGACTGTCACATTCCGATATCTGTTCGGATATTTTGAGAGAAAATAGAAGGTTTAACATGGTTTCAAGCGTAATTTACCTAACCAAGCAAAAAATATAAAAGTTGTAATTTGCTCTAATAGACAACAAAAAGAACAAATTTTTAAAACAGTATTTTATAGCATTATTCAAGGCTAACATCAACAGAATAAACCATCTGAAATGATTTCACTTGAATTTCAAAATTTGCTGTCCGGAAAGTTGTCAACCCATTAGGTATTCCTCTAGTGTTAGTGTGTGTACTTTGGAAAAAAAACCTGTTTCACTGCCATAGAGACATGTATGACAGTTTGTCAACAGAACTGCTACCCACGGACTGAAAGAATATTTTTTTGTTTTTCTTATAATCCAAAAATGCAAATAGCGATGACACCTTTCCATACATAGTCCCACTCCACACAGATGCATGGTCATTTTTGCATTCTTGTCTTTCATTTTTGCTTATGTATTTTGTCTATATGCCATTTTGTTTTTCTTTGTTTAAATAGTTCTTTGTTTTTATAGTGATTAAGATTATAACACAATGTTGACTGCTGTACCTCAATTTTTGACATATTTACCTGTTATGTCTGTTTGTTTTGCTCACACATTGTTCTCAATATAATGGAATGCTATATGACTGTCATACAAGTGAGAGGTTTAGCTAGCTATAAAACCAGGTTTAATTCATCATTTTCTACATAAAGAAATGCCTGTACCAAGTCTGGAATATGAAAGTTGTTTTCCATTTGTTTGATGTGTTTGAGCTGTTGATTTTGCGATTTGATAAGGGACTTTCGTTTTTGAATTTTCCCTGGAGTTCGGTATTTTTGTTATTTTATTTTTTATGCATACTGCAGACATTCGTTTCTTAAAAATCACCTGATTCTGGGAGATGACCCATCCTCTGAATGGTGCTATTATATATCAATCAGTCACGGAATATGCTTGACCACCATAATTGCGAAATATTATCCCCAGTGGTGTTGTCATGTGAACTCGCATTTGTGTTAAAATTTCACTTCTCGCAACATTCCTGCATCGTGCTGACGACATTCTATAGGCCCAAATAAGTTTCGAGATTATCACATTTGGTGTAACAGTACTTTGAAATTTCAAAGCAGGGGAACTTTTGAGGTCATTGAATACAAGGCTTTGATTTTCCTGTGGTGTGCATATTGGTCTTACGGTACCATCGATAAAAACCCAACAACTGTCTTAAGGCCCGTTTCGAACGAAAATTGCCTCAGCAAAAAGTTCAAAATTTTCTTGTGAGCGCGTTCCTGTTTAAGTCGGAGAAAAGGTGACAGTGTTTAACATGTATATAATTAAGAACCTCGTTGACTATATAAGAAAGTTCGGCCTTTGAACGGCCAAAGATGGTTTCAAGATCTTCAAGTCGGCATGGGTAAGCAATTTGTCGTAATGCCGTACTAGGCACACAAAGAGCACCAGTCCCTCTTGTCGTTGTAAGATTACTGCGTACATTTTTATATAAAAGACAAAAAAGATGAAGAATTTCAATATCATATCTATGAAAGCGAAAAAAAATTTTGCCCTGTTCATTTGTAAGTTTTTTTACGTCTAAACCGGGGGAACCCTTTTCCTCCTTGCATATTGACAAAAGGAGCAACTTCGTCAGAGTTTTTTAAAGCTGCAAGAAGTTTCAAGTTTTCCGGCATACTGATTGGCAAAAAGAGAACAGAGACATTTATTTGCTTTCAGCCAATTGAAATCTTTGTTACAATGCGGCTTTTACATGTACACGTATAAGTATGACGTTGCTTTGCTGATTGCATTATAACAATTATTTACGGGATGTGTACTTCTGTCTACTCATACATGTTCACGTACAAACACTTTCCCTTAACTTCTCTAATGACATAACGTCATAACACCTCAACAACGTCACTAATACAATGTCTCAGTCTTGACAAGTCCCTACAGGTGGATGAAATCATTAGACACTTATTTTAATTCACTTGAAATACTATTGTTTTTGTCTCATAAATATATATATGTATTTGACTTTCCTTTTCAGATGTTACTGTGGACTGAATACCTTGTGTTTAATGTATGATATATTTTAAAGTGTTTTGCTAATAAATACATTACACAAAAAAATGAAAAACTTTTTGTTTTAAAAAACTTGATACATTTCAATGTATTCATACATTGAAAAGAAAATGAAAATAGATCTTTATTAATTTATTGCTTCCGAATTGGATCTGAAAAAAGTATACTACTTTCTTCATTACTTTTTCCATTTTGTTTCAGAAAAGAATATTTAGATTTGTACATCAGTTACATTTTTAATGAATCAATAGAAAAACAGTATACTGCATTTAGTTATGGCTTCCTTAAAGTCTGTGATAGCAAAGTCCTGGTGAGTTATCAAGGTTAACAAACAATGATTTAACCAATAAATAAATTGTCATATGCCTATGGTATTATGAAATACATATATGTTATTATTTTTATACGACCGCAATTGTTTACCTCCCATACAATGATTTAGCTTATAGCATTTCAGTTCAAAGGAAATAACTCAAACCACATTTTAATGATATTCCACTCTTAAACACACAACATTAATGTCACATTTTGATATCACTTTTCAGAACAATTCTTATCACAAATTCACAAATCTAATTAAAATAAAAGAACAGAGTTCCAATGTCCCCCGCGTTGCACATATTTTATCTATCCAAGGTACAAGGGCAATAACTAAAATAAGCACTTTTTTGTTCTTTAAATTTGTTTATTAATATCTTAAGAGAAATGAATGCTTCAGAGCAAATGCAATTGTGATTTCCATTATGATTTATATTTCCAAGGGGCATAACTCGTTAAAAATATTTGAACAGAACTTATTTTCGAAAATGTCAAAGACATTGCTGATATACACCTATGATATAAGTTTCATAAAATTCCGGCAAGAATTGAACTCGTGAGAGCATGAGGATTGCAATTTTTCATATAATCAAATATTTTCAAAGGGCATAACTCTTTTAAAAATAATTGATCGGCACTGATTTTGAACTCTTCATGTACTTAGATGATATAAACCTATAATATAAATTTCATAAAAATCTGGCAAGAATTGTTCTTTGATGATATAAACCTATAATATAAATTTCATGAAAATCTGACAAGAATTGTACAGATTAGAGCGCTCATAAGGCAATTTCCATATAATTAATATTTCCAAGGGGCATAACTCTTTTACTTGCAAGTGAATAATTCATCAGCGATATTTCTTAGCTTATTTTGACAAAATTGAACCAAACTGGCTGCTAAAAGCGAATTATTATTTCACTATTTCACTTTCATTAATGATTGAGCAAAAACAAATCATATTTTTTTTTATGTCTCGTAGCTAAGCTAATGCCCCTTTATGGGAATCCGACGTTATGCTATGGCAATTTCTTCAACTGTTTGGATTGGTCAATCGAACCTCTGAGTGTGTTTTTAAAACACTTTTACTGCGTTGCGTATAAATATGCTGACATTATCTGCGTTAAAAGTAGTTGGTATTATTACATAAGCCAGGACAAAAATATCTGTCCAGAGAAAAAAAATAAAAAAATAAAAAAAGGATTAATGGTCCATGCCTCACTGGGACGTTTAATCATGCAACACAAAATGTCATGAGGGATGGATTAAAAGCGAAGATGGTTAATGCAGGGCGAAAACTAAAAATAATAATTAAAGTATACATTTCACTTTTTACCAGTTTAAAGAGGCAAAATTAAGTTTCAACAATGATAAGTGGTTTTGGTAAAAAAAACTTACACTCAAATATTTCATTATTTGAATGAATTATTATCAATATGTGCTTGTTTGTCTCAATCATTGATAATTTTGGATTTTACAGGATTTATTTCATCCATTAGAACTACAATCCATGGTTATAGGAAATGAAAACTATGACTTCCATATATTAGAAAAGGTAAGCAATTGTCAGAGTCGGATTAATTGGGCCTCGTCCCCCTTTTATATAGCTACATATATGATAAATGCATAGCAGTTTCTAAGTGATGAAGTTTATTAAAGGAACCCTTTCTTGGTCAAAAGCTTCTTTGAAAGCAGAAACAGTCTGACAAGGAAACCTGATGGGAAAAAAACCAACTTACATTAATCTTAATTGTATGCTTATTTATCAAGGAACTATTTTGAATAAAGTTGATAATCAAATTTAAACATATTTACAGACCTCAGTGATAATTTTAATTCTTATACATGTATATGACGGTGAAAAAAAATCCTCCTTTCTCTTTAATTTTGGAAGTTGTGGATTGAAATTTTAAGTCCACATTACATTAATTTGGCTTTCAGTAGCACTGGTACACATTTTCATATGGGGACTTTCTGTGTGGAATTTAACCAAATTTAACTTTCAGTTATTTGTAATTCAAATCTTTGTTATTTGATTTTCTTTTCAGAATACAGAATATAAAGGGGAGTACCATAGATATCACCCAACAATCAAAATTTTCTGGGATGTCTTCCATGATCTTTCAATAGAACAGAAGAAAAAGTTTTTATGTATGTTCCATCCATTAGATATTCTAGGATGTCTTCCATTACCTAATAAACAAATTGAATGTTAAAAAAACATACATTTTCAATATCCCAAATGTACTATGAATATGCAAATTTGAGGAAAAAAATTGTTACCTTAAGAAAAAAAATAATGGGAATATTGAAGGTTATAAATCAATCTTTATTGTCTTTGAATCAGATGGTTATACAATATAAAACATTGTCAGAAAATATACGATTTATTTGTACAAGTTTCAGAAACAGCAAGAAAATCGAGGCTCAAAAAATATTTTTTCAAATTTTCCGTCATTGAAAGAATATTGTTTTTATCAAGTAATTTAACATTGATGCTTAAATGTTTACTTTTTGTTTCACCCGCAAGGAATGTGAAGGCACGCTTTAGGAATGCCCATTCGGCGGTAACAACAGGGTAAACTATTATTATGAAGCTTTATATTTCTGAAGGAAGAAGATGTCTTGGATTCAAATGCCTTATGTTCTGATGTTTCTGTCTGGCATATGTCTGTTGCCCTTGACCTCATTTTCATGGTTCAGTGACTGCTCAACAGTTGTATCGTTTATTTTATTATTTGATTTCCCACTTATTATAAGTATTAGGAAAACTATGTTTTGTGTAGAGAATCATTGAAAGGCATATATGTCCGTCAGACAGTGAAGAATTTGATCTTAATCCATGGATCCGATCAGTGACCAATGTTAAATTGTGATAAGGTTTGTTTTTCTGTTATTTTAAGCGAAGTTTCAATATAAAAATAAGATGTGGTATGATTGCCAATGAGACAACTATCCACCAGATTTCAAGTGAAAAAAATGTAAGCAATTAAAGGCAACTGTACGACCTTCACTTTATTTGGTGTATGGAATGAATTGTACATGTCTGTCTGGCAGGGTTCATTTGACAATATCCTCATTTTCATGGTTCTTTGGTCAAGATTGAATTTTGTTTGTTAAGTCTCAGATACTATAAAAGATAGGTCAACTCTATTTGGTGTATGGAATTATTGTAAGGTGTTCATATCGGTCTAGCAGGGGTTATTTTACCTTCACCTCATTTCATAGTTCATTTGTCGACATTTAGTGTTGTAGATAGGTCAGTTTCTCAGATACTACAAGAGATAGATCAACTATATTTAGTGTATTAAATAATAGTGTTAAGTCTTGTGATTTTAAAGCAATCAACATTGCTCAATCCTGGATCAGATCATAAAATGGACCTCAAAATGAACTTTGACATCAACACTAAAAAAGTGATACTCGTTGCTTTAAATATGCAAAGTATGGTATTTGTATACTATAAATATAAAGTAAAAAAACATTTGTATACCTGTTATATGTTCTTCTCCCCCTCCTCCTCCCCTCCCCCCAAATAAATAAAACAAAAACAAATTGTCTTTTGATGAAAAATTGAAAAATGTTGGATTCCATTAAAAAAATATATTTTGGATTTGCTATACTTTGAGAACAATTTTGGGGACCTTTTCCTCCCAAATCATGTTTTTTAATATATATATAATACTTTATGATGTTTTTTTTCAGTATTTTTGACAGGAAGTGACAGAATTCCTATTTTAGGAATGGAAACAATTAAAGTGATAATACAGCCAACTCAAGGTGGAGAAAGTTATCTTCCAGTGGCTCATACCTGTTTTAACATTTTAGATCTCCCGACCTATGAGGATAAACAGACCCTGAAAGACAAGTTAATACTGGCAATAGAACATACACAAGGCTTTGGCATTGTGTAACATATGCTGAATATCTGTTGTTTTTTTTTTATATGGGAGTTTGACATAATGTAGATGAAAGTTGTCTGTTGTATTTACAAGATCCAGATGTCAGAGTTTTTAGAAATACCTTTTAGTTTTTAAAATGAAGTTTACTTATTCTTATTTAAGTATAAAAATCTAAATACTTAAAAAAAACTTTTATGCAAATATTGCACAGTATATTTACAGTTTTTGTTTGGTTTTGTCACAGAATACTTGAAAATATGAATGCATTGAGGAGGATTTTGAGGTCAAACAAAAGACATCCTCTGTTCACCGCTTCTGTAGAGTGTCAAAAAGGTCAAATTAATGAAAAGCTATTTTTAAGGGAGTTTTTTTGCAAGCTAATGGTTGGAATGAAAGGCTCTAATGTGTCTTATAAGATAATACAAAATATAAAACAACCACTTCTTATAAGGAGAACACCTCTTGTACTTTTAATTTAACACATCACTTTTCATTTTACAAATTTGTTTTAAAAACCACACTTATTTTATTACAGTAGTAATTTATAAAGAGAATAAAAAGTAAATTATTAATGAATATTGAAATATACATTTTAAGTTCATCTAGTCCATTGGATCAGTCATAAAAAGTGGTTACCTAATTACTTTAAAATTGGTATTTGCTGCTTCTCCACTAAGCACGCAGCATTAGGAGTAAGAGCAAAGACTGGTCGGCTCAGAGTCAGAATAATGTGTGAGGTGACATGTTTTCCTGCGGACGGTTACTTGTGAACTAGCACGTTAAAAATTTGGCTCAGCGTGTCGGTCTAGTACAAAGCAGGTTTGAAATTAATATTATATTAACATATTCTCGTCCTGAATATGCATATTAATTTGCCGATGGACGTTAAGCAGCCATCCATCCTCATCCTCCTGTAGCAATTTTCAATCCAGATCCCTGAAATTTCACAGGAAGATTGCAAATATGATGATATTTTTGAGGAATTTTCCCTTATTTTTCCAGACTTGGGAACTTATTCTTATTTCAGCAAAATTAATGAAATGGGGTATAATTTTTATATGACGCGCAAAATTTTTGCATTCGTATTATGCTATGGACAAGACATTTGTCATCAAAGACATTTTGGTTCGCAGACAATAAGTTGAGTATAAGTGTATGGATCTCTATGAAATTTAAGCACAAGGTTCCAAACCACAATAGGAAGGTTGGGATTGATTTTGGGGGTTATTGTCCTAGCTGTTTAGTAATTAAGAACCAAAAAGGGGCCAAAAACAATCATTTTTCTTGTCGTCCGAAGACATTTTGGTTCGCAGACAATAACTTGAGTATAAGTGTATGGATATATATGAAATTTTAGCACAAGGTTCCATACCACAATAGGAAGGTTGGAATTGATTTTGGGGGTTTTGGTCCTAGCTGTTTAGTAATTAAGGGCCAAAAGGGGTTAAAAACCATAGGTACTCGGGGACAGGACAATTTTGTTTTTGCCCTCCCCCTTTTTAGCTCACCTGGCCAGAAGGGCCAAGTGAGGTTTTCTCATCACTTGGTCTGTCGTCCGTCGTCGTCGTCGTCGTCCGTCGTCGTTAGCTTTTTACAAAAATCTTCTCCTCTGAAACCACTTGGCAAAATTTAACCAAACTTGGCCGCAATCATCATTAGGGTATCTAGTTTAAAAAATGTGTCCGATGACCCTGCCAACCAATCAAGATGGCTACCATGGCTAAAAATAGAACATAGGGGTAAAATGTAGATTTTGGCTTATATCTCTGAAACCAAAGCATTTAGAGTAAATCTGACAAAGGGTAAAACTGATTATCAGGTCAAGATCTATCTGCCCTGAAATTTTCAGACAAATCTGACAACCTGTTGTTGGGTTGCTCCCCCTGAATTGGTAATGTTAAAGAAATTTTGCAGTTTATGGTTATTATCTTGAATATTATTATAGATAGAGATAAACTGTTAACAGCAATAATGTTCAGCAAAGTAAGATCTACAAATAAGTTGTCATGACCAAAATTGTCCGTCGACCCCTTTAGGAGTTATTGCCCTTAATAGTCAATTTTTAACAATTTTTGGTAAATTTTTGTAATCTTTTACAAAAATCTTCTTCTCTGAAACTACTGAGACAAATTTAACCATACTTGGCCATAATCCTTATTAGGGTATCTAGTTTAAAAAACTTGTCCGATGACCTCGCCTTTCAATCATCATGGCCGACTTGGTTAAATATAGAACATAGAGGTAAAATGCAGTTTTTGGTTTATATCTCTGAAACTAAAGCATTTAGAGCAAATCTGACAGGTGGCAAAAATGTTCATCAGATTTAGATTTATCTGCCCTGAAATTTTCACACGAATCCGACAACCCGTTGTTGGGTTGCTGCCCCTCAGTTAGTAATTTTACAAAAATTTTGCAGTTTTTTTTATATTATCTTAGATATCATTATAATATCTAATATCTAATACTATTAATTATGATTTTAAACTTATTTTACATGATTTCCAAAGCATCAGTAAATACAGGTGAGTGACACAGGCTCCCAAATCCGTTATTAGTCCCCTACCGACGAAATCGAAGAGTACTTTAGGTTTGCACTCTGTCCGTCTGTCCATCCGTCAGTCCGGCAACTCAGTTTTCCACACTTGTTTTCTTCGTTCTTGAAGATATTGATTTGATATTTGGTATATAGTTTTATCATGACAAGTTAAAGATCAAGTTCGAATTTTGTTCCGGTCTGATGATTTAGTCCAGAGTTATTGTCCATAAAAAACTCCATAACTAATGTTAGAGTACTATGTTAAACCATATAATCTGTACAAAGGGAGATAACTCATTTTTAAAAGACTTTCTTCGGTAAATTGTTTGAGGAATTTTGTGGCAGGTTTATATGTAATTTTGTATAAACTAATTTTCTGAATGCTATATATATATATATATATATTTTTTTTTTATTAAATGAAATCCTTTAATTAGATAATAATCTATTTTTATTAAGGTATATATTTCATTACATTACATTGTGTAGATAAAATTTGTTGACATTTTATAGATAAGTTACAAATCTATATTAGTTTGTGACAAATGAAAGAAAAAATATTTGGAACTATTAATTATATTTGATTGTAATTTGAAAATAGATATACATTGTATAACATCATATCTAATTTTAAAGAACTATTAATCATATCTAATGTTAGAGTGTTATAGGTTTTCCACACTTTTTTTCGTCATGCTTGAAGATATTGATTGACAATTGGTATATAGTTTTATCATGACAAGTTACTTATCAAGTTCAAATTTTTGTTTCCGTCTGATAATTTTGTGCAGAGTTATGGTCCTTGGACTTGAAAAAATCACTCATATATTCAGTTTTCCACACTGTTTTTAGTCATGCTTGAAGATATTGACTTGATATTTTCTTTTTGTTTACACCATGACAAGTTATAGAACAAGTTACCATTTTGTTCCAGTATTATGAATTTTTACCCGGTAGGGGACTATGTATTGCCATGCAATACTCTCAGAATGCTTGTTTTTTTTTTTTTTTTCTATTAAATTTAATTATTTTCGCGTTTTTCTGTATTATACGAACATAAATATACCACAAATAACTTGTATTTGCTATTTACTATCAATTCCAAGTTTACTATCCACAGCGGTCACTGATATATTATATAGAGAGAGGGTATCTCACTTCGTACCTTATCACCTATTTTCCAACGTGAATTCTAGGAGGAATCCCAAGTCTAATTCATAAAATATTTAATTTCCTTCGGGTCAGTGGGCATGACTCGTTTCCGCTATCATTCCTCATTTTAAGCTGCTGGCACTTTTAATAAAATTCGACGTCTGTCATCAGAACAGATCAATTTTGCTCGTCGTGTCGTCGTATTTTGATTCTTAAATGACGGAAGTATTGTATGGGCGACAAATCTAATTCCGCGCCAAATCCGGTTATCACCATAACAGTATAAAATATAAACGTGTAACACCACTAATTCGACCCGGCCAGAAAGCACATACCAGAAAGTAGTACATATTTAACACAAAATAGTTCCTACGCATGAGTGTAACTTTCAAAATATGTAAAATATTTATGTATTGTTGATATCAAAAATGAAAGCTGAATGACTGGTGATCATTGGAGACTACTTTTTGACTTATAATTTTGAATATTAAAAAAACTGCACCAAATTTTATAAAGAGGGTACTTTTTGCCTGTATGTCAGATCTGAAGTACCTGTTTTGGTACATCAGAAGTTCCGGGAACCAGTTCTTTCTTATATGCCATTAAAGGTATGTTGATTTTTCCAGTACAAGACACCATAAAGTGTTGCTTTGACATGCAATGATTGTCACTGTATTTGAACTTGAAACAAAAGAGCTGTGTCTGCTTGAAATTGAGGAATTTAACATAGAAAGCAATGGGGCCATGAATTAGTGGTGTACTTCCTAAATAAACTGTAAACCTGCTCGAGTCTATTTATACTTTATACTGTTATGATGAACTCTCGTGCCTTATCGTGCTGCACAATAACATTCGGGACATTTGTTTCAGGGAACAGGATTTGGCGCGGAATCAGAGTTGTCGCCCATACAATACTTCCGTAATTTAAGAATCAAAATCAAAAAAAGGTCCAAAGGGTCAAAAATTAAACTTTGTTTGATTTTAAAAAAAATGAATTATTTTGGGTTCTTTGATATGCTTAATCTAAGCGTGTATTTATATTTTTGAATTTGGGCACAGTTTTCAAGTTGGTTCAAATCTGGGTCCAAACTTTGTTCAATTGAAATTGAATTATTGGTGGTCTTTGATATGCCCAATTTAACAGTGTATTTTGATTTTGGATTTGGGGCCCAGTTTTCAAGTTGGTCCAAAATTAAACTTTGTTTGATTTCAACAAAAACTTAATATATGGGTTTCTTTGATGAATTATGCTGAATCTAATTAAGGGTGTAGTTAGATTTTAGATTGTGGGTCCCTTTATCAATTGGTCCACAGGGTCCAAATTTAAACTTTTGTTTGATTTCATCAAACATTTATTTCTTGGGGTTCTTTGATATGCTGATTCCAACCATGTATTTATATTTTGGATATTGGACCATAATTGGTAAATATCGAATTTAAAATTATTTAAGTACTTAGACCACATTCATTCTGTGTCAGAAACTATGCTATATAAAATATTGAACCAGAGCTGTATTGCACAATTAATAAAAATTATAAGTAGAGTCATAGTTGAAAATAGATATAGCATCATACGATTATCTAATTTTAGAGAGGAAATATAGTTTGAAATTTACTGTTCATTATTAGATTATAAAATGGTTAAGTGGAGCTTTGAATCTGTCATCTCATGCTGATAAAGGAACAGATAATATTACTTAACAAACAGATGTTTAAAAAAAACTGAGTCTGTTAATATGGAGAGAGGATTATGTCAATTTTCTGATATTACCACTCCAGGACAGGAACAATGAAGTTTATTAAAATTTTAACATTTTTATAACTTATCATGGAAATTGAATATTAAAATGAATAAAGGAAGTTTGTAATGTATTAATTCCCTATACATTAGCTAATGTGTGTATTTGTTTGGTTATTTTGTAATTCTTTGTTTGTTATATTTTAATGTATTTCATGAGGGCCTCAGGAAAGATTAGTTTTCCAGCTAACTGTGTAACCCTCTTTAAATAAAGAATTATTATTACATGTATTATTATTATTATTTGAAAAAAATTAAAATTTTAATATTCTACCTTTCAAAACTTCACACAATTTGTATGGCATATTTACATTTGTAATTAATTTACATTTAAGAATATGGATAAGTGTTGTGTATTTACTATTAATTCATTCATGCAGCAATTACCACCTATTATCAAGAAAAGAAAGCATGTGGTATTTATGGCACGCCTGAACCACTTTTATTAATTAATCTTAGATTATCTCAGATAAACTAGGATTATCTCAGATAATCCCGGTTTATCTCAGATAAACTAAGATTATCTTAGCTTAATTCAAATTCGAGAAAATCCTAGTTCATCTGAGAAAATACAGAAAATTCATTATCTGGAGAAAATCCCGATTTATCTCAAAATATTAAGAAAATCTAGGTTTTTCTGATCGATTTTCAGATAATCCTAATTTATCTCCAGATAATTAATTTTCTCAATTTCAGATAATGAATTATCTCATTTCTCGAGAAAATCTAGGTTTATCTCGGATTCTAAATATACAAAAGAACAATGTAACGAGTGTTTTAATTGGACGACACTGAATCCGGCGTTTAACGTTTTACTTTCTCTTTGAAACCATGATGGTGACGAATTCACTTCCTATTATTGGGTGAACGGGGATGTGCCAAAATATGGGTCATAATTTTGCGAGATTTTATATAAAAATTAGCGTCCTTTTTCAGAGGAGGGGCGACATTCAGCATACGGCACGCAATTTTTACTTATATTATTGATCGATCGCTGTGTTATTGTGTCATTTATCACTACTCGTGGTGTGAACATCACCGTTATTGACACCTGGACACGCGAAATTTGTTGAATCAATTATAAAAACAAGTAATATACAGAAGGGCTGATTATATACAATATACATATACTTTGTACATACGTAATAAACAAATTTGGTAGCTATTTCTTTTACACAAACTGACTGTTTATTACCGACGGCTAATTTCGACATCGATAATCATTGAATTCTCATATTTTAATTCATTCAGTCGGTTTTAATTTTTTAATCGTGACAAAGTTTTATAAAATATTTAATTTTAACTATTGCGTTATTTCGTCATTTGTCAGTAAACAAAATAAATAGCACTAGAAAGAAGGCAACTAAGTAATCCAATACACAAATGCACGATTCAAGTATGGAAAAAACAATTATTTCATCATGGTTATTCATTAGACATAATTTTCATTTTGTTTTCAAAATAATTAAATACATAAGAGTTTATATGCCACGAACCTTAAAGCGCCAGTTATTAATTGTAGGATATAAACAATAAATGTACATTGTCTGAATACAAAATGTGTGTGTACTCGCTAACACGGGTGTCATTCGGTTTAACGAGAGAAATGATCGTGAAAGAATATCTAACGGAGGTCAAGTATTGCAAGACGATCGTGAAAGCTCTGGTACCGGATCGTGAAAGAAATTGAATCGAGAAGACATATGAAAAGTCATTAAATAATCTAATTTAATTAATTACACGGACAAATTTACAACAAAATAAAACTGTCTGTCAAAATGTTTGAACATTATGATCAGTATGTGATAAAATCCAGTTCTAAAAGTACATAGTTTTTACAAAACAACAAAAGGCATATTGCTCCTCGACATTTCAGTGACATCAAAAATGTAAACAAACATGATTTTTTCACAAATTCCAATAAAATAAACTATTTTTCTTCGAAAAAGGGCATTCTATTTGAATGCATCAAATGATTCTCATAGTTATTTTGTATAAACATAATCTGAAACTTGGTAAAAATAGAAATATTTACACAAAATTGATATTTCGGATCGTGAAAGATCACACCGGTTTATGAAGATCGTGAAAAGGATCGTGAAAGATCTAATGCTACGAAGACGTTCATAGTATTCTTCAATTATATGATAATTAATATTTGTTATTGGTATTAAAAAAAAACTAGATTGGCATGACTGACCCGGGTCTCTTTTGCTGGTGAATAGGGCTATAATCTTGCAATGCCATTGGATCTAATATCTTATAATACCACACAGACTTGGTAAATTGTATCAATACCAGTCCATTTGTCCGTCCTTCATAAGTATTGTTTTTTTATACATTAAGATGTTTTATTTTGTATTTATAACTTTGAATTCTCATCTTTATGCCCATTATATTTATAAAGCTTGCATACCTGTATGCTATAGGGCCACGGTATTTGGTGTATGGTGTACATGTCTGTCTGCATGTTTCATATATGACGTCAATTGTATTTGATATATTGAATGATAGTAAGATGTCTGTGTCTGACTGTCGGTCAGGGTTCATATACTTTCGACCTCATGTTCCGAATTAATTGGCCAAACATAACTTTTACATTTGTCAGTTTCTAAGGTACTGTAAGCATCGGAACACCTATATTTGGTGTACGGGATTTTTGTAGTTATCTGTATGTCATGATTCATCTGACCTTGACCTCTTTTTATGAATCATTGAATCTGTATATCTATCACCACTCTGTACATCTACCACCTTTCTGCATATCTATCTCCACTATGTATATCTATCACCACTCTGTATATCTATCACCACTCTGTATATCTACCACCACTCTGCATATCTATCACCAATTTATATATATATCACCATTTTGTATATCTATCACCACTCTGTATATCTACCACCACTCTGTATATCTACCCCCACTCTGTATATCTATCACCACTGTATATCTATCACCACTCAGAATATCTATCACTACTCTGTATATCTATCACCACTCTGTTATCTATCACCACTCTGCATATCTATCACCAATCTGTATATATCTTCCATCACTCTGTATATCTACCACCACTTTGTATATCTATTTCCACAATATCTATCTCTCGTTTGTAAATCTATCAATACTCTGTATATATATCGCCACTCTGTTAATCTACCACTACTCTGTATATCTATCCCCACTCTGTATATCTATCACCACTTTGTATATCTATTCTCACTTTGTATATCTACCACCACTCTGTATATCTGTCTCCAGCCTGTATATCTACCAACATTCTGTATATCTATCACCACTTTGTATATCTATCACCACTCTGTATATCAATTACCACTCTGTATATCTATCACCACTCTGCATATCTATCTTCACTCTGTATATCTATCCCCACTTTGTATATTTATCACTACTCTGTATATCTACCACCACTCTGTATATCTATCAACACTCTGTATATCTACTACCACTCTGTATATTTATCACCATTCTGTATATCTATCATCACTTTGTTTATATTTTACCATTCTGTATATCTATCACCACTTTGTATATCTATCACCACACTGTATATCTATCACCACTCTGTATATCTACCAACACTTTGTATATCTATCACCACTCTGTATATCTACCATCCCTCTTTATATCTACCACCACTCTGTATATCTACAACCACTCTGCATATCTCTCACCACGTTATATATCTCCAATCTGTATATCTATCACCACTCTGTATACCTATCACTACTCTGTATATCTATCACCCCTCTGTATATCTTCCACCACTCTGTATATCTACCACCACTCTGCATATCTATCACAACTTTATATATCTATCACCACTTTGTTTATCTATCACCACTCTGTATATCTACCACCACTCTGTATATCTATCACCACTCTGTATATCTATCACCACTCTATATATCTACCACTACTCTGCATATCTATCAACACTCTGTATATCTATCACTACTCTGTATATATATCACCACTCTGTATATCTTTCAACACTCTGTATATCTACCACCACCCTGCATATATATCACCAATTTATATATCTATCACCATTTTGTATATCTATCACCACTCTGTATATCTACCACCACTCTGTATATCTACCCGCACTCTGTATATCTATCACCACTCTGTATATTTATCACCACTCTGTATATCTATCAACACTCTGCATATCTATCTCCACTCTGTATATCTATCACCACTGTGTATATATATATCACAAATCTGTATATCTATCCCCATCCTGTATATCTACCACCACCCTGTATATATATATATCACCACTCTGTATATCTATCACCACTTCGTTTATATATCACCATTCTGTATATCTATCACCACTTTGTATAGATATCACCAGTCTGTATATCTACCACCTTTCTGCATATCTATCTCCAATATGTATATCTATCACCACTCTGTATATCTATCACCACTCTGTATATCTACCACCACTCTTTATATCTATCAACACTCTGTATATCTACTACCACTCTGTATTTCTATCACCGTTCTGTATATCTATCACCACTTCGTTTATATATCACCATTCTGTACATCTACCACCACTCTGCATATCTATCACCACTCTGTATGATCTATCAAAGTTTACTGACTTTGAACATGTTGAACTAGGTTATAAAATGCTAGTACTATCAGATCGTTCTTTTGTGTACTATTTATTGGTATACTTTTTTTTGTCTGTATTGTGTTGATCTGGCCACCGTTTCACAAAGCCTTCTTAACTTACGATCACCGTATCATTTTACGATCCGTTTACGTGTGGTTCTACGTTCCCGTTACGTGTGTTTCACAAAGGCATCGTAAAGGACTACTAAGTTGATCGCAAGTTACGCACTGTGTATCATCGTAAGTGTATCGTAAAACGGAAGTCTAGCTGTAAACAGGAGGTGTGAATCGTAGTTTATTTACATCGGAATATGGCACACTCTTCTTTCACAGATCGACGAGTCGAGCATGCCGATGAGAGCGGACGTGAAAATGTTTGCAGAGAGAATCTTTCAACATCATTGAAATTGTTTTGTCAAATTGGTTTCATGGATAAATATTGTTATCCTTACATCTTATATTTTATGTTTTGGATTATATTTTTTTGTTGAGGAAAGTTTCTGCAGATATTTTCAGGTTTGTGTGAGACATGTGGTCAGATGGAATCCATTAGTAGTTTCCATGATGGAA